ATCTTATTTGATAAAGCAATTCGATTAGACGGTGGTATGCAAAATGAGTCTTTGTATTTACATGTTGAAGAAACCCATAAAAACAAAAGTTTTCTGAACACACCTTCACATTACAAATGCATGTACTCAGCTGGTTCACAAGTGACAGGAGGTATAACACAACCAATTGCCGTCATTTCCTTTTGGTGATCTTTTTTTTGAAAATTCAAAAACTGTTGATCATTTTGAGCAGGGAAATCATGATTATCAAAAACAACCTTCTCATTGATATAGTTACCGGTTTTTCTGCAATACTCACACCCAATTTAACCATTAAAATACTTTATAACTTTTATAAATGCTCTCGCTGGAGCATCACTTACAATGCAAAAAGCTCGAATAAGATACCTCTGTCCTGAAACTACAATTGGGTATTTTAATTTGTTCAAGTTTTCTACAATCCCTGAAAAATATTTATTCAGGTCATTAGGTTTATATGTTCTGAAATAAAGAGATACAATGAGAGACTCAAGGCTAGTACTTTAATTAACTTTTGCTAAAATTGGCCAAAATGATTTAGAACTGGATTTGAATAAAGATATCCCATCAATATTAAATGTTAACGTGATAATTATAGAATGAAAATTAGTAGCAATTAGAACTAAATAGAAAATTAGTAAAATTAGTATTTTTTTTAGTGGAACAGATTTTAGTGGTAAGATTTTATTTTAATTTATTGTTTGTTGAACAATAGTTGTTTGTTGTTGATTTAATTTATTAACATCATTATACTTGATTGTATTTTTAGGTCATATGCTGTCTACATGAATACTATTAAAAAAATAATGTCTCCTTTCTCTTTTGTTAATAAGTTGATACAGCTGGAAAATCAATTCTGTATGTAACTTAATTAGTTGATTAACTCTTTTTTATTTTATTGGCTTGATTTAAAGCCTCCTTTAGATTGGAGAAAAGGTTCCTGTAGACAAAATAAAAGGGGGAAGGGAGGGGAGGGGATAAAACATTTAACAATACTTACAATTAGTATTTTTATAGTTCATGAATCTACTAATTGTAGATTTATGAACTATAAAAGGTTAGGGTCAGGGTTATTGTAAATAAGTATATACATATATACTTTTTATTATTTTTAAAAGGATTTAGTTTTGGACAGGCATTCCTTTATTTTTTTAAATAAAAGAAAGGAGTTTTAATAGTCATTTAAATAGGGTTTAATCATTTAAAAAGGGTTTTAATTTGATTTATATAATAATAGTTATTTAAATAAAAACACAAGATTTCTAGGTAAAATAGTCAAAGTAATAAAAAAAAAATATATATATATATAAAAAAAAAAAAAATTAGAAAAAATTTTTTTTTTTTAATAGATAAGCATGTCTTGTTATTAGTTCTTTTCTTCCAGCTGTGGCCGTATTTCTTCACACATTAGTCTTAAACAAAAAAAATCTCTTCACGCGGATTCAAGAATGATGAACATGGTTGCAAATATCTTATTTAAATGCTCTGAGCGCTCATCTCAACAATATGATGGGTTTTGACATCCATCACCAGGGTGAATTCTTCCTCTGTCCCAAAATCTTGTACAACTTCATCAATACTTTCTCGAAACAAAACTGTGTTTACTGACACACTGAGAGCTTTGCAGTGAATAATATTTAAACTAATCACGACCTAAAGTTACGCTGCCTAGGGCGAATGATCGGGAGTAGTGTTGTTCCTCTTCTTGCTTATGAATGACTGTGAAACGTTTAATTAAATGGACTTTTATCAATAAAAACAATATTTTCATAGCGATGAATAAGGCGAGACTAAAGTATACAACATAATAAATTCAATTTGAAGGTTTTTTCACATTATTGTCGCTTTTTTCATAAATTGGTTGAGTAATTTTAAATGCTTATCTAATATTGGTCACCCATCTCCAGACAGTTGTAATCGATACATTTACATTTAAAGCATATTTAATTTTAACTATAGTTGTTGTTGTATTATCGTTTATAAGCTCTTCAATTTAGGTACGTAAACTGAAATTTTTAAACAAAGAATATACTAAAATGTTATACATCAGTAGAAAGCCCTTCAATACAGTATTTTAAAGGTGAAAAAATTATCAAAAACAAACAATTCAAAAAATAGTTATAATGTTTTTAGAAGCAATTTTTAGATATATGGCTTTATTGAAAAAACTGGTTCCCAATTTTTTTTTTTTACTTAACTTGTTATAACTTTGTCAAATCTTATCTAAATGCTTGGTATCAAAAGATATATGTAAAAGTTGGCTACAAGATTATATTAGTCTATAGATATATGGGGTGTCTAGAGGGTCAGAAGGGGTACGGGCAAACATCGTAACCTAAAAAATTACAGGTTTTTCACCCGAAAGAGTGTTTTTTTAATAAAGTTCGTTACCTTTATACTCAAAAAGTTGTTCTAATTTGCTTCTATTCCATTTCCAAATATTAGTGGTCTATCTTAGATTAAAGGGTGAATGTTTTTGTTACTTTTTAACACCATCGTAGTGAAATATTACATTTTTATAAATACTTTACTCTTAAAAATACTTACTATATTTTTTGTTTAAAAGTATAAGTTATGTTACTTTACAGCATTTACAAGTGGTGTATAAATTGACATTGGAGGCGGGACGTGTGCCAAGTCCAACGCCTTCTTCTCTTCCCCCTCCCACCCCCCACCCCCATCCCAGTGTTCTTCAACCTAAAAAAAAAGAAAGTTTAAAAGAGATTTGAAAAAAGGTTTTAAATTGAGAATATTAAAAAAGAGAAAATAGTATACAAGATTATTTTACTAAATTAGTTAGGGAAGGGGCACGCCCAATGCCCCCGCTCCCTTATTCAAACTTGAAAAAAATAGGTATAGAAATTTAAAAAACGTTTTTAAATTGCGTTTATTTATAAAGAGAGACATAACTTTACAAATCTTACCACATTACAAGATGCAGGTTGGAGTGTTCACCATAAAATTAAGCCGAAGATAAAATCAATTTTAAAACTTGTACTTTAAAAAGTTTTAAAATACAAAATATAATAATTTGTCTTTGTAATAAAATGTCTTGGCTTTTAATAAATGATGTTATTTAAAATTCCTATAATGAAACTAAATAAATCAGTTTTAACAATAGACACCACGTGAAGGTAAGCAAGAGCCGTCTATCAAAAATATTTTGCAAGCTACACAAGTTGCTGTACCATTATGCAGGCTACACAACATGCGGTACTCCTTTGGTAATTTTTTAATATAATGTAAATATAATTAAAAATTGTAATATACAAAATAAACTATTTTCATGTTTAGATATAAATTATAAAAACTATAAATAAAGTAGCATATTAATTTTTTTTAAATTCAAATCAAGCAAGTGCTTATTCTCCTGTTATAACATCAGCAGCAAGCTGTATATTTTTTTTATCTTATATTCAACAGCTTCAATATATGTTTCACCTTGTCTCCAGTAAAAAATTGTGTAAATTCTATCCTGTTGTTTCTTGTTTACTGTTTTCACTCTCCCATCATGAATAACTGTCTTTGAATAGTTAGCAATATACCACTCTTGACAGAGTTTTCTTCCAACAATTCTTTCAGACATAACATCATCTAAATCATCAAGTTGCTTATTAGATAAATTTTTATATAAATTCATTATTTCGCAGGTAGTTGTTAAATAGAGCTCACACTCTAACTTTCGTTTTTGTTTTTCATCCATTTTTTGGATGAAAAACAAAAACGATATATATATCTGGTCCAGAGCAACGATATATATCTGGTCTAGAGCAACGACCTTACAGTTTTTTTTAGATGTCAGATGAACGGTATTGATATCAACAACTTCTTGTGTTGTTGCATAAAATCTGCTGCTTTCAGTTCTGCTATACTACCAAGCTCACGAGCCATTTGTTTAATAGTACAACTATGAGGAAAATCCGTAAAGTTAACACCAAAATATTGCCTAATGTTTGAAATTAGGAATCGAATGTTACCTGTTGCATCATTGCCTAATAACATACCATAAATTATCATCCTCATTTTTAAAGGGTAACTCATCGTCTTCTGACATATTAACATTTGGAATTTTTCCCTCTTTTATCTGGAAAATATCATTTTAATTGAGCAATAAACATTTTATTTGTCTTATCATCAGTATTATGTTTTACTTTTATTTGCATTAAGTTTTGTTTTTCTTTTACTTTCAACGCCTTTGTTTTCGCTTTTAGATTGCAAAATAACCTACTTTAGGTTTTAATTTGTTTTTTTAGTTCTTTAACTTCTGTCCTTAAAGCTTTATTCGTTTCTTCTTTTCTTTATATATTTTTCTTGAATATTTTTAACTTATACGGCATGCTATTGTATTTCGATTTAACTTTTGCTACTTTTTTCCTATGGTCTCTGGTGAAGATAGCTAACTGACAAGAAAAATATGATACCTATTGATGAAATTAGCTTTCTTCGGCGTTAGTTCTTCTCTAGATGCATGCTTTTTTTTTCACTTTCTATGGAACTTTCAGGCGAAAAAGGTTCGCCTATAACTACCCAGCGGGCACAGACGTCAATCAGACGTTATACGGACGTCTTAACTAGGTCGCGACGTCTCAGACCAAATTAGGACGTCTTAAAGACGTCCAGTTAAGACGTCTTTGTTAGGACGTCCTAGTGGCGTTAATATAAAGACGATATTAGGACTTCCAAATTAAGACGTCTTATTGATGTTGCAAAGACCTACATTAGACGTCCTAATTACCTTAAAAATTAAGTAGAAAAATTTATATTATCAACTTGGCGCATACAATATTCTGCGCTAACTCGGTTAAATAAAAATGTCTAGGTATGTACATGATTCCATCATAGTCATAAGAATAATTTAGTCATAAGTTTTTTAGTCATAGTCATAAGAATAATTTAGAATAGAAATATTTCTTATGACTATGATTCCATAGCGTAAAGTTAGGTCCCGTAAAATGTTCCGCAATTGTCCCGCTTGACGTCCAGGACAGAGTTAACAGAATTATTTTTTGCATTTATAATTTAATTTATGAAATAATTAATATTCTTTAAATGTGGAGTAAGTTTTCACCTGGTTATCGTCGAAGATTAAATTTAAATTGGTAAAAAAAATATTATTAGAGATAATAATAATTTAAATTTATTAGAAAAAACAACATAGAGTAGAGGTAATACAAGACATTTTAACTTTTTTAGACAAAATATTTTAGATTTTGAATATAAAAAGCTTATGTTGATGTTTGTTTTATTACTCGTTTAAAAACATTTCTCAGGAATGACATTCCTGATAATTTAAAAATTTAAAAACATTTCGAATGTTTTTAAACGAGTAATATAATATAAGCTTTTTATATTCATAATTTAAAATATTTTGTCTAAAAAGGAATTTCCTCTACAAGCACGTTTTAAATGAAGTATCAATTTCATTTTTTGTGTGTTTGTTACTGTTTAAATTTTTTTAGTTGTTATTTCTCAAGAAGGAAGTTGGGTTACTGTAGAAACTTACGATGAAGTACTTGTTTTGATACATAGCTTCGAAACAGAGGCTGTATTAAAGTTTTATGCTATAGTGCTGCTAAAAACTTTGGAAAGATGGGTAAGAATTTTGAAAACACAAATTTAATTATGTGTTTTCAAAATGCAATTGCTAAATTTTAATTTTCTTTTATAAATATATAGTTATTATTTAAAAAATTTTTGTTGTTGTTATCTTTAAAGATTCTTCTGCAAAACACCACAAAATAAGATAATTCAATATCATTTAATGGTATTCCCTTTATGGTTTTAGGATGTAAAGTGCTTGATTGTATGCACGGGAATGATAGAAAAGTCTCTTCTAAAGAAGTTTATAAAATTTATTTATTATTATGTTATGTTTTTCTTTATTAACTTATTACAAAATAGCTCCTGTATTTAATGTCTAAACCTTTTATTTATGTTCTTTTGTCTAATTTTCTTAATAAGTATCAGATCACAGTTTTTCAAAAAGCTATTTGCTATATTTAAATTTCTTGGTCACCAAGAAATTTAACTGTAGTTTTCAAATAAAAATTTAGAAAGTTTAAAAGTTCCCAAGTTTTAAGGTTTTATTTCTTTGTTTGTTTAATTTATATTATTGAAATGAGATTTAAGTCAGTCCTATATTAACTATTCAAGACACATGCATCAACTTAAAATATAACCAATTAATTTATGCTAATTCTTTTTAAAATAAACTTTGTTTTATATTGCTGAGGATACTAAATTTAGAAGAGTGCAATTCTCAAACTGTATTAAAGATGCTTTGTCAAGAAATAAAGTAGTAAGGGAAAGAGTGTTTTCAGTTTGCTTTCCTTCAAAAAGTTCTTATACTGGTCATTTTACTAGAGATGTAAGATTTCTTTTTTCTTTTTTGTGATAAAGTTTAACAATAGATTAAAAAAAAAAATGTTTTAAACATCTTAAAGTTAGTTTATTATTTCTAACATGTTATTTAACTTGTTTTGCCATATAACATTTATTAAATTTTAACATTTATATTAATATGTTTCCATTTATTTAAACCAACAACAATAAGGTTGTAGTAAATCTTAATTGCTATTTTTATTGCTGTTGTTTAGGAACTTTAGATTTAATATTGTTTAAAATATGTATAAACTTTCTTGTGTTCAGTATATTTAGTATATCATATTTAGTATCTTGATCCAGATTACTTAAGGCCTTAAATTCAAATGCCTGCTCCTACTGATGGTTTTGTTATATACTGGGTATGTTGTTTTACTATTCCTAATATATGTAATATTGTTCATACAAACTTCAATATTTTCACCAGGGGTGGGTTTTGTCACTCACCAAGGAGGTGGCTAAAATGGTTTTTTAAAAAAAAGGTCCGCATTTTTTCACTTAAAAGTGACTTTCTTTTTTAACTTTTTGTACTTTAGTGTAATAATCAAGTTCATATATGTATAATTACCAATAATAGTCAATTACCTATAATAGTCAATCCCAATGAGGAGGGGGGGCAACTACCCCCATGCCCCCCTTAAAACTTGCCACTGATTTTCACAGTCTGCTATAGCTATTAAGTGTATCAATGAAGATAACTAATCTATCAATCATTTTTACAAGCAATCAATAAAATATCTCATTGGAAGTAGGAAGAAAGAAGCTTGTACTATTGTAAAATAAAATGATATCTTTTTCTGTAGCATTATATATATATTAAAGTGTACTTTATATTAGATCAAATTGCATGATTTCACATTTATCCTTATTAAAACTGATTAGCCTTTTTTTTTTCCAGTTAAATAAGATGTCAAGATCAAACTGTGTAGAGTGATTTATTTAATTTTTTTCTAATTGGGTTATTTTCTAAATTTTCAAAATATTTTCAAAAATTTCAAATACTTCTTGGAATATGCATCTTAAAGATGGAATTCATATTTTAATAAAGATATAAATTTTATCGAAAAAGTCCAACACAAAGCCGCAAAAATTGGCTACAAAAGAAAGGGAGCAAGTTACAAGCAAAGATTAAAAGAAATGGGCTTACAAAATCTATCAAATAGAAGAGAAAACAGCGAACTCATTAAAATGTTTGAACTTATAAACAACCATGATATTATCAATTAGAACTGCGTTCCAAAAGTATTGGGTAGGCTTACAGAGGCCACAATCAAAGGTCGAGAAGACATTTTGTTAAAACTTTTTTGTTGAGACCAATTTTTTTACAAACCATATACAGTGGGTTGCCAAACTATTTGGGACACTTCACTTTTTAAGTAATTTTAAAGTTTAAATGATTTTTGCAAGCAAATAAATTTTTTTAAATAAAAAGTTTTGAGTGTATTTTAGTCACTAATATAACTATAGTTGTTTTTAAACTGTGGCAATTTGTGATAACCCGATCTGTCAAAAAGTTAGATTATTACTCAATTAGCTGTCAATTTTTGAAAAGTGTGGTTGAAAGTCAAAAATTCAAAATTGATTTCAGTTACTTATTTTTGGAACAATTTTTTGCAAGTTTTTTGAGTTTAAAACTATTGAAACCTAAATATTCGTTAATAGTTCAATTAATTTGTGACTCTAGAACCAGACCATGTCAGCAAAAGTGGCAGAAAAGGATCACTACTCCATGTTATGACTGTAAATTTAAAGACATCTTTCTTGAAAACAGAAAAAAAAGTGTGGCTCAACTAGCTATAATTATAAACAATGAATGAATTAACGTCTCCAAAAGGACGGTTCAGGGACGGTTCGTTGAAGAGAATTTAGTGTGTTATCGTCCAACCAAAAAAAGAATGTTTAACTGAAGCCATGAAAAAAAAGCGACTGGAATGGACTAGAAAACACCAGTATATGACTATTGAAGACTAGAGTAGAGTAAATATAATTTATAATATTGTAAGAAACCAGAAAAATTTAAGGATAAATATTTATTTTTGAAATATCTTTGAAATATTTTGCAGGTCAAATATCTTTAAAATGTTTTACAGGTCTGCTTCTTGGACCAATCAGCATTTCAAATTTTGATGGACAAAAGCTCATTTGTTCGACGATGCCCTGAAAAAAATATCACTAGGACTGCCTTTTGGAAAAGGTTCAACATCCTGTGAGTGTAGGGGTGTGGTCTGTGATCTCAGCCAAGGGTATGGGCTGCCTTTACATTGTGGAAGGAACCATGAAGCAGGATTGGTCCTGCCATATGGTTCCTTTCTACAAGCTATTACTGGAAAACAGACTCCTGCTCCAGGTCTAAGAATGGTTCCCTGGTAATGAAGAGTATATATTCATGCATGACTCAGCACCGTCCCATAAAGCCAGAAGTGTTACAGCATTCCTAACTGAAAAAAAAGTGCACGTTTTGCCATGGCCAGGGAATTCACCTGATATTAACCCTATAGAAAATTTATGACAGTTCATAAAACAGAAAATTGCCAAAAAAATTATCACTACCAAGCAGCAATTGATAGAAATCCTTATAAGAGAGTGGAATAGCAACCTCAGTCTCCAACACAATGCAGAAGTCTACATAGATAGCATGCCCAGATGCCTGAAAGCTGTTATTGTAGCTAAGGGTGGCATTACAAAATATTAAGATTATTAACTTATTTGTCATGTTTTCAAACTTTTTATAAAAAAATAAATAGTAATGAATAAGTAGTTATGTTGTTTTATATTCTAAATAAAACTCTCTACCAATAAAAACAATAAAAAAATAACAATAAGATACATATTTGTTCATTAAAGTAGTTTGTACTTTAAAATTACTTAAAAAGTAGAGTGTCCCTAATAATTTGGCAACCCACTGTATTTAAAAAGTGTAATTGTTTGCATAGAAAAGTTGTCAATGCCATTTCAGTAATTGATTTCAAGAAAAAGTTTAAAGAATTTAGCTTTGATGAATTCGTTGATGATTTTTCAAGAATTTATTTGTATTACTTTGTGAAATCTTTCTACCATTAGCATCTATCTACTTTTTGATATCCATCTATCTTTATTTGGTATGCCAGCTTTTATACAATTCTGGCCTTCTTTAAAGTGTTGATAAAATGCAAAGAAGATTAGAGATCATTGCCTTAAAAGAAATATTTCAAAGTAATGTGTGTCCGATAAGATCAAATAAAAAGTTCTTCCTATCAAATAAAATTATTTGTAATCATATGCTTTTGGTGTCTAATTATATAAGTTGTACACCAAATAAGTCTTTTGTGTTCTTTTAACAAGTGGATGCAAATGTTTATAATGTATTTGTTACATTCAGAGTTGACACATTTTTGTTATTTTAAATTTGTTTATAATGTATTTGTTACATTCAGAGTTGACACATTTTTGTTATTTTAAAGTTTTAATAACTGTTAAGTTATTAGAAAATAAAGAATAGAGATAAAGAGTAACAATTCGGTTGACACAAGAAATTTTGTAGACTGTATGAGTTAGAAAAACATGATTACGGGAAAAAGTTCCAAAGGGTTCAATTAAGGGTAAAAAACTAAACAAATAAAAAATTTTTATGGCATACAGGGACAGATACAGTAAAGAGGTGAGACTTTGCTAAATGACGAGTCAAGCAAAAATGAGTTTATGGAACTAGAGATGAAAGCTCCTTTAAGTAGGGACCATGTTAGTATTTGTAGAACAGAGATGCAACTTGACGACGTTGAAAGAGAGGCCTTAGCTTGACAGATAGAGCAGGTACTACACAACTACATTTACAATGCATATTTGGACCTTATCTTGAGAAATAAGAACATCATTGGTAGAACCAGTCTAAATATGACAACATTATTCTAAACAGGGGCAAAAAAGAGATTAGCAGAGGTAGAAATGAAATCGGGAGTAAGAAAATGGCAAGCACGATAAAAAGAAGCAACTTTAGCAGCTGCTTTTTTTTTTGCAATTGTATATATGGTTTCCATGAAGGGTCATAAATGAATGATAATCTGAGAAGAGGACTTGTCAAAAGAGAAATGTCAACAGTATTGCTATTTGTATAATATAGTTATTTGTAGTAAATAACTAAGTTTGGTTGAAGTTAAAATTCACAAGCCACGCAAGCCTCAATCTGTTACAGAGGTTAGATCAGATTCAAGATTGAATTTTTGTCAAGGCAGTAGTATTAAGTTGAGTCACCAGCAAATAGAGCTACTTTAGATGTAAGGTTGCCAGGAAGATCACTAATTTAGATGAGAAACAAAACAGGATTAAGGATAAAACCTTGAGGTGCCGTAGAAGTTACTGGAAATGAAGAAGAGTGTTGGCATTTAAGGATGACTTTAAGTAAGTGGTTCAAATATTTATGATTTTTATAAAAACTGGAGTATATAATTGTATCATCAGCAAATTGAGCAATTAAACCACTTAAGAGGTAAGATTGTTACATAAGATCAATACATTAATATAGAAAAAAACTCCCTTTGTTGTGAGCTATATGGACAATATTAGGAGATAACAAGAAAGAGTTTCAAATTAAGGCTTTTTTTAAATTGTTTTTATTGTAGGCTTATTCTTACTCTCTTTTTATTCGTAAGCTCTAATAAAACCTAATGATCTGTTTTTGAGCACTATCAATGGAAATATTATCACTGTACAAAGTTATTGGTTTTTTTTTAGGATACTTATTACTTAAGTATAAAGACGTCCGAAACTTGTATTGTTTAAAGAATCTTAATGTAAGTAAACATGTTACTACAAAATAATTTGTTTATTTAGTATAAGGTTCAAGTCTATAATATATTTTTTGAGTTATTTTTTTTTTAAACTTATTTCCAAATAACTATGAGTAAATTTTTATGTTATTGTCAGCCATTTATTATTTATATCTAATATAAGTAACAAATTTTTGTTTTTAAAATGTTATTTTAATTTATGTGTTTTTAAATTCTTTTTACATCAATCAATCTTTTTAAATCAAAATGATTCAGTTTATTTTATATTTCTCTATATCTATATGTATGTTTTCTCTTAAGAAAAATAATTAGGAATAGGAAAATTAAAAAATATTCTTTATATATTTTTATGTTATACAACATTAAAAAAAAATATTGTGTTTTATAGTTAGTATATATGTTTGTAATGTTGTTTCCATGATTTCAAAGTGGTGTGACTTGGCAAACTTGTAGAGCAATATTTGTCAACCTTACCATTCAAGCAATGTCACTGCTTTAGGTCTAAGTTTTGTCTAGCCTTTAATATAACTATACTAAAAAATGCATAACATTATCTTTGATAATTTTTTACTTAATGTTGTCACCTTTGACTTATCTTTATGTTGGTGTCTGTTGTTTAAAAATGATTAATAGGTAGTTTCATTACTAGGACTCACTGCTTTTATTTATTTACTAAAAGTCATTCAAGATATCATTTCGCTATAAATACATTTTGTTTATCATGAAATAAAAATATTTAACAACTACAATTCAGGTATCACAACAGCTTATCTCTATCAGGTACATTTATTTTCAATTCACGTATTATGTTTTTGTTTGTGTTTACTTATTCATTACATTTTTTAACTTCAGATTTATCATATGGTGTATTTATTTGTTATAGAAAAACAAATCATTTTAAATTTTTATGAATTTTTTAAAAATAACTGCTGGTAATTAGTCCAGTCAACATTTAAAGTTAATTTTGCATATACCATTTTTAAGTAGTTTCTAGGCTTTTTTAAATGCTTTTCTTATTCAAGTGGTTTTACAAGAAAGGTCTGCAAGTAAATTAGAGCTGAAAAGTTTTTCAGCTTTCAAGGAGAATTAATCTGTTTAATTTAATTTGTTTAAATAGAGTAGTTTAAATAAATAAATGTTTGTTTGTTTTTCGTTTTTTATTTATTTGTTTTCGGATTCTTAAGAACTAAGCAACTTAGAGAAGCAAGATTTGTTCTTTTTTTTAGTACAATTAAAAAGAGCTGAAGTGCTTTTTAGTTACTTCAAATCGATTGTTTGTTCGTTTTTTAAATAGAAGGAATAATAATAATAAAATTTTTAGACAGTTGAACTGTTACTGATTTGAGTAAGTTTAATACTTTGTTTTATTTTTTATTGAATTTATTTTATATTAGATATATTTTATGTATTTAACATGGAAAGCTGATTGTAATTTGTTTGACAGGTAAGTTTATATACATAAATGTGCCTATATTTCAGTATATTTTATATTTCTCTATCTATATAAATATTATCTCAAATAAAAAATAAAAAGAAAAATTTGAATATATATATATATACATACATATATTACTTTAGACTGACATTGCTTTTTTTTTTTATAAAAGGTTCTGCATTTATTATTTTTGTGCATTAAGATTGTGCTTGAAGGTAAAAATAACTTTGTGCATTGTAGTCTAAATTCTTTGTTAAATTAAAAATAATGTAAAAAAATTTTGTTTTATATTTTTAATGAACAACTTCTTTACTTATAAAAATATGTGAATATGATGCAGATGTATAATATTAGGCTGGAAAATGTTTTTAGTGTAAATGGTAATAGGTGACTTGAAAAATATTGTTGTCAAATGAAAGAGATAGATTTAGGCCTTATAAAATTAATTGTGGTTGAAATGTAAGAAATTCTGCTCGATGAACAGAAAACTTACTTGCCAGAATTCATTGTCAAGCGGTGTTGATGTCTATTAATTTGATTTTACATTAGACACTTTAGAATAAAGCAAGGTATGAATTTTACTATTTATAGTAACAATTCATAACAGTTTCAATTTTAAATGATTTTAATTTTTTTTTTTTTTTTTTCCAAAAATTTCGTTCTTTTTTTTTTTAGTTGCCTTTGTCATAATTTGATTATTTTGCTTACTGTTGAAACATGGTTTTAATTTTGTAAATTTAATATGATGTGAAATTTACTTTATTAATCATTAGTCAATAGTTAGAGAGAAGCTGAATCTTAATTAAGCAATGCTGGAAATTAACTTTTAATTCAGGTAAAAAAAATTTTGTTTATTGATAGCATAAAATCAGTTACTATTTTTTATTGCATATCTTTTTTACTTTTTTTAACATGCTGCTTTTGAAACACTTTCTCTCTCTCTCTCTCTCTCTCTTAGATGAGACTTAAATGACAGTAAGTACAGGGAGAATTGATAAAACTCGTGTAATTACTGAGCTCTTGCGCATTTTTCAATACTACAATTGATAATGACCATTTATAAGATATATTTTACGAGTTGCTATTTAAAGATATAATTCTTTAAATTGTTCAACTATAGTTGTCCCTTGGTTGTTCAAATTTTGTAATAAAGAAAATCTTTTTAGTTTCAAGTATTTTACTTTAGGAATCGTCCATATATTACATAATGCGAAATTAAACTTATAGACAAAAGACATATCTCAAAAATCGTGTTTCTCTTATAGCCAACTATATGTTGCATGTTCAAAAACTAGAGCATTTAACAGTTTGTTTTTCAAAATTGTTAAACATCCTATCAAGGTGAAAAGTGAACACAAATAGTGTTATGCTTTCTATTGTTCTTAATTAATTATCTTTAGATTTTTATTTCGATAATTTACTGTTAAAGGTTGTGAGCATGTGTAACTTTATTTATTTTATTTTTTTTTCATAAATTTTGTTAAATACATCTGTCATTTAATATAAAATGTTTCTATATGTCTTATATAAAGTCTTATTTGTTTATAGCTGTATATATGTTTATATTGAGTTGTTTCTATGTTTTCAAAGTGGTGTGACTTGGTATTATGTTGATCAAGTTTGATAACCTTGCCAGCCAAGTGGTGTACTTATAGCAGAGGTGTGACTTAGCAGCATTTAATGCTAGGCAGTGTTACTGCTTTAGAGCTAGGTTGTGTTGTCTAGCCTTTTTAAATTATTCTGAAAACACATAATAATGTCTGTTGATGTTTAGCGTAATGTGTATGAGAGAGTATGCAACCTTAATCTTTAAATCTAGCGTGCTTTAATGTCCTAAATTTGAAATAATTGAATAACTAATATTGAATATAAAAACAAATATACTTTATTTAAAGTTTAATAAAAAGATAAATATAACTCTAAAATAATTTTTTAATTTTACCTTTCATATTTTAATTTAGTTTGTTATTTTCACTGGATTTTATTGCTATGTGTTATTGTTGTGATGTTTTGTGTTGATAGACAGCTTGGCTCACCTTCCCGTTGGCGTCTATTGTTAAAAATGAATCATAGGTAGTTTCATTATTGGAATTTACTGCTTTTATTTATTTACTAAAAACGAAGACAACATTTTGCTGAAAGTGCAATTTAAATCTTAGTTTGATTTTTTTGTAATTTGGTGTTTTTTTTATTTTTTTTTTATTTTTTTGTAATTATGATGTAATTCCATTTCTTTTTATTTTAGATTTACGTTATGACACATTAATAAGATTTATAAAAAAAATTTCCATTTATTGTAAGTTTTTGTTAGTTAAAAAGATATAAATATATGCAATTAGTTCAGGTTTTTTTTTTAATTTTATGCCTAATAATTTGTTGTACGTATTTTAGGGGATCTTTGTAAACGGGGGTCGTAACTAAAAACTTTTAAAAACTTGGAGAATTCTGTAGTTTTGCGCATTTTTGTCAAATATTGATTTACTTATGTTTTATTTACATATTTAACTAATTAGTTGGTTTAGTCTGCATTTGCAACACTTTTGAGGAAAGAATAATTGTTTGTAAATAAAAATGTAAATCATTGTTTTACATTTTTATTATTTTAGTTAAAGAAAAACTTGATTACTCTTAATAAAAAAAACCCTACTCACCAGGCCACCATTGAAGCAAAAAGAGGGGAGGAACCTCTTTACTTGTGTTAAAATATTTAGAAAATTAAATTTTGAGTAACAAAAGGAATTTTTAGTAAATGATAGCAAATGACCGTTTACTAAAAATTAATGAAATAAACAGGCCAAACAAATAATATAGAAATGGTCTATGTTGAACAGACTTAACAAGACCCGGGTCCGGTCATAGTAGGTATTACTAGTTACTTTCCCATGGACTAAATATATAGTTTATACGAGAGATCAGTAGTGAAATATTAAAAAGACGTAGAGGACTTAAGCTGAAAAAGAAGTAAGTAGTATATATACGGCCAGCCAACTTCAAACATTAGCTGACTTCGAACATACATTTAATTTTACTTAATGACATTTATTTGGATTTATAGACGTTTTAAAAAAAATTTACTAATCTATGGGCTATGTAAAACAACAATGACATTAATTTTAGTTCAGCTAGTGGCATGTACGGAATCAAAATTTAAAATATTTATTGAATCGCAATCAAATTTTGTTATTTATGTGCCCCAAGAAGTCCTAACGGTCTTGTCACAGAGCACCGCGGAAATGAATTTAACCAGGAAGTTCACGCGCCCTTCCTTACTGTGACGCGAAATATATTAAAGCTCATTTCAAACCCAGATCCCCGGCTTATAAAGCAAGCGCTCTAACCACTAATATATAAATATACCTGGTTTATTTGCACCATGAATCAGTATTATTAACCAGGTTGCCAAAATCGGAAACTTAGTTTCATTTAAGTTAAGGGATAAAAAGCGCCTACTTTGTACCTTATTAAAATTTTAAGGCTTGCAACAAAGATTTCTTTAAAAGATGTTAGCAAATGATTTAAAAGTTTTGAAAATTATAAGCTACTTTCAATATTAAAAAAAAAAAAATTTTTGGGATACGATAAAAAGTTGAATTGTGTTATTTGTAACATAATGTTACCAAATAGAAATAGTTAATGTACTAACTTTATCAAATTAAACAATGCATTGGCAAAAATAATGTCGCAATTAAATACGCAAATAATATAAACTTATTTCAAACAATTGTAGGCTAGACTGGGGTAATTCTGTCCCCGGGGAAATTCCACCTTCTAAAAAGATATGGAGCAATACAAATAAACTAAAAAAACTTGAACCACTTTTAGTTCATGTTTTTGATTGCCAACTTTCTGTTATCTCTAATAATGTATGTTGTTCTCCTTTCAAATTAAAATTTGTAAAAACAAAACTTTTAAATCACATCATTGGTTACTAGTTTGAGCTTAAAAGCCATAAAAAAAATTGTAAACTAAATGTTTTACATATCTATCTGAACTCATAACTTCAAAACAAAGCAGAAGATCAACAGATAGTAAGTTTGTTTGGTTTAAAATCTGAACCTTGCTTGACATAAAGTATTGGATCATATCTGCAACTTGTATTTGGAACAGCAATCTATATTAAACAAAAAGTTGACCATTTTTAGGTGCTTGCTTGACTGAACTTTAAATGATCTTAAATTACTTTATCACAATTGCAATTGGCGTTGAACTAAATTTCCATTTCCAAATTCATATACTTGTTTATAGTAAATGAACAACAATAGAACATCTATACATACACTATTTTGCAAACTTTTTATTTTATGCTTCGTTAAAAGTAGATTTGTTAACTTAACTTGCTATAAAACTGTATACTTTTTATAAACTTTTTTCCTGCCAATTTAGATGGGGAACATTGTAAAAATTGATCAAACCATGTTACGTAAAAATATACACAAAAATATTATCGAAAACATGATGCATATTTTTCTTTAATTTGAAAATCTTTAGTTTTCTTTTCTTGCACACAAAAACTTTAATACTCTTTGAAAAAAAATGTTTTTCAAAAATACACCAGAATTCAATATGGTATTTTTATTTGTATATACCCTGTGTATAATAGGTTGATTTTTAAATTGGCTAAAATATAAACCACCACCATAGCTTTAGAGATAACAATTACAATTGTATAAACCTGGATATTGTAATAATATTATGATTTTATTATTTATGATATTATAGGTATTTTTTTTATTATTATTTTTATTATTATTATTACTGTTATTATAAAATAAATATTGCTCCTATTGCTTTTATTTGTTGTTGTTGTTTGCATAAAGTTTCTTATCATAGTAGAAGCATATTAAAAAATAAAGATAAAACTCAAGAATGTGCTTGTTATAACTTTACTAGACATTTCATGAATGTTACACTCAAAATTTTGGTTTTAGAAATAATTCCTTAGCCATCCTCACAAAATGACTAATAAACAAACCAACTACAGTAAACATGTTATGATTTAGTTTTCTTTATTATCAAAATATCTTAACAATCGCGGTTCACTTTGATATTATGATCACAAATAATATTCGAATATCATGATTTAAATATAAATTGTATAAAAACATTTGTATTATAGTATAAAATCATGTTTCACAAATTTTGTATTGAGTTACTATTTGATAAAAACATTTTACCACGCATGACCAATAATTAAATATTCACATAAAACCATTGCATTAAACAAATAATTTAACAATGCTTTTTGCATCTTAAATACTTAATTATTCGCCAAAAAGTAAACATTACGTCACCTAACTTTACGCTATGGAATCGTGTTTCTACCAAATGTCTACATGAACGGCTATTTCCTGAGATCGATCCCTGTTTTGATTGGTTAAAAATTTTGAGTTTCGCAGAGTCCGATTTTGAAACATCTCGTTAGCCGGACTCTAAGACTTGAGGAAATTTTTAACGCATGCGTTTTTTGGTAGGTTTATATTCTAAACCTTGTTTTAAATGGTTGTGTTTAGATCATATCCCATTAGGAACGATTATTTATATTTGCGTATTTTTATTTGCAAGGTAGATAAAAGATTAAAAAGCAAGTGAGATAAAAACAATAGTAAAAATTTCGTCGGCGATAGTGCAAATCCGCGTTACTAGCATTGGCTACTATATTCGGATATTATTAATTTTAACACCAAATATTTATTGTTGAGATTACAAAAAATATGAATAAATACTTTTGGGTTCATTTTATACGAAAATGAACCCAAAATTAGTTAAAATAAAAAATATATAAAGTTTTAAACTTTTTCAGAAAAAAAAATGTATTGTAGATAAGGGAGAGCGGGGTTGGTTGTCACGCGGGTTGGTTGTCACAAAGTTTATTACAGGAAATGTAAATAAGATATAGAAATTTCAAATTATGCAATGGAAATGTTATATAAAAAAAACATTTTTACAGTAATTTTTATCTTTTTTTAGCGTGCAGAAGAAAAGTTATTCGTTTTTAAAGGTTTTTGATATGAAAAAGTAAAATTTCGACTACTCAGAAATTTTCTTTTACCAAACGAACATTATTTTATTGTGTTTTGAATGTAGATTTATAAAGTACTTTATTCATTTGAGTAACTTAATCCGTAAAAAATTATCATGAAATTCTCACGCTTTTAGGTAAATGTACAGTTGTCCAGTAACTTACTCAGAAGGGGTTGCTTGTCACAAAATATATGGGGATGGTTGTCACACTTGCCTCGACTCCATGCGCTGCAAATTAAACGCCGCTTGCAGATTTTTTATTGGCTTTGTTTATTTTCCGCATTATTGAGGAATATTTTAATGTTTAAAATATTATTTAAAAATCTAAAGTCAAAGTGTTATATTTGTTTAACTAAATATCTGTAATCTAAATTATTTTTATTTCAACGTACATAACTTTAGATTCCGATCCAATGTTTAGTATAATTATAGAAAAAAGATTGCAGAAGTTCAACTGTTTATTGTTTTGTTTACAAACTAAACAACTAGCTGTTGTTTAGTTTGTAAAACTGTCTGTTTTTTTGTTTGTGCAATGTTTATATTTAGTGCATCTATTGTTTTGAATCATTTTCCAACAGCCGATCAAGAGAACAGTGGATTCAATGTCAGGTTTGCCAAAAACGGTCACATGAAGAATGCACACCAGGCTTACAACAGTTTATTTGTGAATTGTGTTCTTTATCCAATAATTTTTAAAAAACCAAACCTAAAAACATTTATAGTGATAAACTAAATTTGTTAATTGTGTTATATTTAAAATATATATATTTCAGTTTATAGTATTTTATTTTTATTTTTCTTAGTAAAACATAAACGAAATTAATTTGTACTCGTTTTACATTAAATTCTTATCTAAACTTGTCAAAATCCAAATGTGACAATCAACCCCGCACCATGTGACAACCTACCCCGTGAGCGGGGCTAGTTGTCACACAGAAGTGGTCTTTGAAAAATGATTTTACAGCAATAAATATTTCACTCAATGTCATAAAAATATTATAATAGTTACTGGAAATAGTTAAACTAGCTTTGTGCAAAGTTTGGCATTGATTGGATGAAAATTAAAAGCTGAGCAGCCTAAAATGTAAAAAGTGTGACAACCAACCCCGCTCTCCCCTATGCGGTATTACCCAATGCTAGTTACGCGGTTTTGCACTATTTCCGACAATTTTGTTTTCTAAATGACATTGAAGTGTTATTAAATTTACCTTAAATAACGGTGCTATTTAATAAA